TTCCATGATCGACAGGTCGGGATGGTCCTCAGCATCCAGCTGGGCTGTGAGGAGGACGCTGCCTGCAGATGTGCAGGATTATTACTCCAAGAGGGAGAGAGGAGGAGCCGGCACATGGAACCGACAAGAGGAGGAGCAGCAGGCACCAGCACCATCAGGTTATTTATATACTTTTTGCTCTATTCTTAGAAAAGCATTCTTCTACACTGTGTGCACAATTATTTGGTTTATTTTTTATAAATGACCCCCTACATTGCTGTCAGTTACTCCAACATTTTAATAAACCCTGAAGATGAATGTTTAAGAAAGTAAAGTTAAGGTTTACTTTCTGGCTTTCTCAGGAAAATATTTAGATATGTACAGTTATTGGGCAGCTAAATGAAAAACACAATTTCCCATGTAACTTTTTTTCCTCCAACAAATTTCTTGCAACCCAGTCGACAATTATCAACAAATCATTTAATTAACTCAGCAATTTATAAGGTTCTGCATCTCTGAGACGTTTAGTCATTTTTGACTCTTCAAGTGTCAGCTAAATCTATCTTTTTGTTCATTTTGGCTAAAGGAAATTTAGTTGCCTGGTAATTATGCACACCTTGATATTAACTGTTGACCTCCTTAGGCCACACCCTCCATCATTACAAAGATACACACCACCTGCTACACATAAAGCATTCAAGTCTATCCAGCTTGGATTTGGAAAATATGCCCAAAAAATATTCACTTTCCTAATAATTGCACACACTGCATATTATATGATATATTTGAAACTTTAGTTACATAAATTCCGAGCTGAGACAATGTTCTACCATGACAAGGAGTGAAGGTAGGAACCATAAAACAGGGATTTACTTTGGAGACTGCGAGCAGAAAATGGCTGCAGATACAGAGCGTAAAAATTTTTAACCAATCAGATTTGTTTCATAATTCATGAAATGAAACTTGTATAGATTTGTTGTACATTGAAATATTTCAAGCCTTCATTTTAGTGATATTTCAGTTTATTTCTAACAGACTTGAAATTTGAAATTTAGTATCAGACAATTTGAACATGCTGGTATACAGAACGCTGAACAAGCAGCTTTTTCACCTTTAGTGTCTTCCCCTCCCTGTTTATGTTGTCCATGATTGTCCAATCAGCAGTTAGTTTTTCCATAACTGTGGGTCCCTATCTGACCCACAGAGAAATCATTTTGATGCACAGCAAACCTTAGCAGGTGTTTTGAGTAAATTAGCTGATTAGCTTGTTCAACAACAAGTTTCTGTTGTTGAACGTTGGTTATCAAAATGAAAAGAAATAAAATCTTGAAATATTTCATTGTTTGTAATAAAATCTGTAGATGTAGATGTTGACTTTCTGACATTGGTGACAAAAATGTTGAACTTTTTCCACAATACTCAAATGTTTTCGGATGTCCTTTCCATGTTACCCTAGTCTTAAACTTCCAGCAGCAGCTCAGTGTTATGATTCCCAGTGCTGAGATTGGCAACTCGGGGAGGTGAAAAAATAAGTCAGCTTAGAGATTTTGATGCAAACAAGTATGTTTGAAGAATTAATTTCTTTTAATATTAATTGTAGCTGAATATAGAATTATATTGACTAACTTATGACAGAAAGCTAGTTGGGTTCCTCTGCAGTCTGGAAAAGCTTTTTTCTTTTTTCCTCAATTACTCTTTCATTTATTTATTTCCTTCTTTTCTTTATTTTTCTTTCTCATTCTTTCTTTCATTTGTTCTCTTTTCTCCTTTTCTTGTTTTCTTTGTCGTATTTATTCTTTGCTTTTTTCTTATTCTTTTCCTTCAAATTTCTTTTCTTTCTAATTTGTTTCCTTCCATTTGTTTTTTTTCTCGTTTATGTCCTTTCTATCTGCCTTCCTTTCTATCCTCCTTTCTTCCTTTTAATTTGTTCTTTTGCTTCCTCCCTTGTTCCAGTAAATAATTCATAGAAGGAATTCGTAGTGAACTCTGGTTTACCTGTTTTAAAACGGACATAAGGAAATGTCTGTTTTAGTTCTAAAACGGGACATTTGTTGGACAGCTAAATGAAAAACAAGGAACATGTAACTTTTTTTCCTCCAATAGTAGTTCTAGTAATGTATATAAAATGTGTGGAAACTGCTAAATATTTTGATTTGCTCATATTGAAATATGTTTTTCCGTTTTGTGCTTTTAGATCCACCAAAGAGCGACCCTAATCCTCCTAACCCCCAGGTTGTCCCTGGTAACGCACCAGTGGCCGTTTTGAGCGTCCTCCCTCCCCCACCTCCTCCTCAGCTCGGCGTCCTCCACCAACCATACCCACTGCAGCGCCCCCTTCCGGTCAGCCTGCAGCCTGCTGCTCCCTACCCCATACCCCCTCAGGTGCCCATACACCTCCACCCCGCAGTGCCGCTGCTCCAGGTGCCCACCGTCGCCGCCCAGGGCCTCCCTCCTCCCCCACCGCCTCCACCGCCCATGCAGGCTGCCGGCCAGACCGTAGCAGTCACAGCTCAGCCTGACGGGCACACAGCTCAGGTACGATAACCATGGAGATGGCAGCTAACTTAAAAATACAGTAGCAAGTTGTGTCTATCTGAATGATAAAAATTTTGTACGACTCCAGATGGTGAGCACAGTCGTCGGCTACAGCAAACCAGCCCTCCTCCCCACGCCGACCAAAGTGGGCGTGGCCACAGCGTCCCAGGTCCAGTCGGCTTCCAGCCAGGCACTGCCGTCCTCCACCACCCAGACCGGCCAGCACAGCAAGGCCCAGGCTGACAGCTCTAAAAAAGAGAAGGTACCCAACAAGGTACTCTGAGCCAGTACGGACGAGTTCAGTTTCCTGTTTGCTGACCGTGTCACTTCCTGCTTGTCCTGTAGAAACAACAGATTCAAGAGAAGGCTATAAACGAAGTGAAGACGGCGATCAAACCCTTTTATCAGAGGAAGGAAATCACAAAGGAGGAGTACAAGGAGATCGTCCGCAAAGCAGTAGAGAAGGTACACACACACACACACACACACACACACACGTTTGTATTTCTAACTTTTAGGAACTTAACTAGGAATGCTCAACTACTGAAACAATTACTGGGACATATTATGGGGACATGTTGAGGGTCAAACAGTCGGCTCCAAAATGGAATCTAACTTTATTCAAGCATATTTATACAGTGTTTATTCAAACAATTCAAGTTCAACTTCAGCTTTTTTATGGGGATTTTTGTGAGTGCCAGTTGTTCCAATGGCTTCCCTGTTCCCTAAAACACTGAAGAACATATATCAACATCAATGAATACACTGTAAACCCCCTGCAACCTCCAAATAACGGCCTAAATATAGAAATTTTTATTAGCTAGAATGGGATAATTGAAAGAAATCAGATTGGATTTCTTTATTTTTCTGCTCAGGTCTGCCATAGCAAGAGTGGTGAGGTGAACTCCAGCAAAGTGGCCAACCTGGTGAAGGCCTATGTGGACAAATACAAACATGCCCGCAAGAAATGAACCTGCAGGGAGCGCCAGTTTCCCCTCCCAGACCTGTTCTGCTGATCCGATCAAGTGCAATTTCCTCCTGCTGGAATCTGGCCTTCCAAGCCGAGTGACGGTGGAGAGCCAACATTTTCCTCCTTTTTGATATATCTATCTACCTTTTATTGAATGAAGATTTGTTTTCTATAGATTTTCATATTTTGTTAGAAAATAATGACCTGATCATAAATTGTAATTGCAAGAGCCCTTTATTTTGCTTAGATCATGGGACTTTGGGGGAGCTGCTGTAGAGTGCAGAGAGATTACTAAAGATGTGGAGGAGAGCATCCTAATTTCATAGCTTGAGTAAATATCATCGTTTCTTTAAAAAAGTTCTGTAATATTTCAACTGAAAGACAAATAAGAAAAACATTGCTTTTTTTCTTTAATAGTCTCTGTAGCCCAATGAAAGGCCTGCAATCTGAGGACTTATTGTAATCAGGGAACTGATTGGATCCAAAATCAGATGCCCAATCAGTAGCGAGTGTGTCTGGAGGTGAATGTGTAATATCAGTGTGTGTGTGTGTACATGAGCTGTGCAAATTGTCTGGAAAGTAGTGACATAAACTAGATGCTTCCTGCTGTGCTATGTTGATCAGAGGGTACATATTGTAATTGCAGCTCAGAGCCAGAAGGTGGGGGTAGTGCTTCTGGATTTGTGGAAACTCTTAATGCTCATAAGAAATATTCTGTTTTGTTTTGTAGGAAAACAATTTATTAAATTTTCTGAATGGAAACCAGATTGTTGGGCAGCGACAATAAAATGAGGGGATTCCATATAACATGTTTAATTAGATCCTCATCGTTTAAACTTAGATCTTTTCTCCTTGAAGGCTAAAGATATAAATAAAGTTGATTTCACTTTATTTCTCTGCCTTGTACATTGGGTTGGTTTTAATAAAAACATTGTTTAATAAATTAGCATAAGTAGAGTAAACGATCAAAATGGTAATCAATAAGGAAGTTGTGTCAAGTCACTTGTGACCAAGTCAAGATTGTTCCAATAGGAAAATGTTATCTAAGCTTAAAAATCCAATACATGTTAAAGGTTTTGTGACATGAACATTATATGCCCGAATATTTGTCACCTTAGTTAAAAAAAACATCAAACTGAGCATAGCTTGCTCTGTTCAGGTTGAAAGTCTGTTTAACTGACGTACTTTGAACTGTCCAATGACTTCCACAGATCTTGAAACTTTAATTTCTAGATGTTTGCATAAATTGACTTGGACCAATTTGTATGACTGTTGTTTGATTCCTCTGTAGGTAATTTAAATGAATTTGAGCCACTTGAGTCCAAAATCAACTGAAAGTCTTGTAAAATTCCTTGGCATGATGATCCCTCATGAAGAAATCAATTTGGAAAGATTGAGATTGGAACTCCAACTAAATTATTAAAACTTAGGTTATGACTTGGTATTAAAGCATGTCTCTCTCATCTTTCGATCACCAAGCTACACTAACATATGTGATGAACATAGAGAATGGAGGTTACAAAGGTAGTACATCACTTTATTTACAAAAATGTTAACAGCATTTTGTAAAAAAGAAAAAAGACTATGGCATAAGACAAGTCTCAATGACAGAAAATCTAGTTTGGCCAGTTTTTCTGCAGTGGCACTACAACGATTTATGAAAAATAAAATTTGATTTACAGTTGCAATAATTTGTTATTTATAGCCTTAAAAAATGTAAATAAAATATATCCAGATGATATGGCGCACAAAGAGTGACACCTTAGAACCTATGTAAACTCACATGGGCTGAGGGTAAATATTAAATTTACCTGAAAGCTGCCTTTTAGGACATAATCAATATCTTTGTACAGTAAGGCAAAATAAACGGAAAGAAAATAAATTTCAGTTCCAGCAGAAGAGCTGGCGCTTCAGTGACCTTAGTCTTTCACAGAGTTCATGATCCAGTCGTAGATGATAAGAGTCATGCAGCCAAACATGACAACAATTCCTAATGCCAGGAACATCGCAGCCTGGTGGAAGAAATCATTTCACAGTTAATACTGTATAGTTTCAGTTTGTGAATAACCTCAAAGATGCATTCATAAAGCTTTCCTTTTAATACAACTTAAATGTTTTTGGCATCAAATGTGTAGAATAAGAGACATAAATGTTTAATAATGTCTTACCCCAATTTTCTGCCTGGATTTCATTGACTCCTTCTTAACCAGTCTGAGATAGAAAGTTGAGGGCAGGATAAAGATCAGCATTGTAGCAGAGGCACCTGGAATGAGGAAACTCGAGCTGTTAATCATAAAGGGTCAATAATACATGATTAAAAAGTTGACGATACGTATTAACATGTGCAATTACTTACCAATGAAGCCAAAAATATATTTGATGCTGGGGACAAAGATGACCAGGATGTTGGTTCCTGCTAGCAGGCTCAGGGCGATGATAATGTGACGGATCCAGCTGAAGTTCTTTCCTGGGAACAGCAGGTGGCTGACTGAGGTACGAATCTGTTCAGAACCAGACAAAGATTAGCTCAATAAACTTCATAGTCTTCGTGACTGACTGGTTAATTAACAGTAGACCTTCAATACTTACAGGGAAGAGCACCACAGGAACTGTGAGTGTGACAGCGGCCAGCACAGCCAGACGAACAACCAGCAGGAGAATATCGTACTTGTAGAACTTTGAGTAGGTGTGGAGCAGCTCAGGTTCCACATGGACTGAATAGAAATATGACAGATCACTTCAGTTACTTACTTCTAATGACTAAGAACAGTTTGACTTTATGCCAACTCAGCTGCAATTATATGTAATTAATAAACATCAACATTCTAACACATAAGACAAGGGTGTGTTGTATACCTAAACAATACCCTCAATGTTTTCTACATAGAACATTTAACTTCTGTTTAATCCAGAAAAGGAAACAGTAATAGTGAACACAACTCTCTGCAGGTTTTGTACTGCAGAGACAAAAGCTATCTGCTTGTCACTCTCCTTGCAGGAGCCTCTTATTAAATCCTGTTATTTTCCTTCTGTTTGTGGTTCTTGTAATTTTGTTTGTTCAGCTTTTTTTCATTAAAACTTCTAAATCTAATCAACGTCTCAACCTGCTGCATCTGGGTCCAACCCATCTTGACAACATCTCAATACTGCTAACACTGTAGTTTTTAAATCTTGCCCAACTCACTGTTGAAGGTGAGGTATCCAAAGAGGGCGGCCAGCAGGTACATGATGAACACGGCCAGGAAGGACACGTTGGCCACGTTCTGCATCTTTCGGCGTGATCGGCTGTTCAGGGACGGAGAGTTTTATTTAGACACCAGACCAAACTTTAAAGAAATATAGCATTGGTGTAGTTTCACTTTGAGTTAAATCCATGCAGCAGGACTTACTCTTTGAGCTCTTTATACATAGGGAGGATAGTAGGGTGGCCTACAAAGGCAAAAAAGAGGATGGGTATAGCATAGACAGTCTGGAGAGATGGAAAAATGCAAAGATTAGATGTTATTCTTTGAGTATTATTAAAATATTCAAACCTGTTTAATCTGTGAGAGATTTATTTACCTGTGAGTTGTAGACAAAGTATTTAGGCTTGCAAGTGTCATCATCTGTAGTGGGGTTGTCACTGTGGTGGGTGCTGTTCAACAAATGCATGGTTTCATTTCCATCGTCAGGAATAGGCAGAGGACAAGATATCTGGAACTTCTTTATGATCACCTGCATCAAGGTAAATATGTTTGGATTACAGTATATTTTTACAATATTAAAAAACTACATAACTAGTGATTTGAAAACATTAATGAAACAATTTACAAAATCTAACTTGCAGGAGAAATAAAAGAGGGAGGCGTCATACTGACCACAATCAGAAAGAACACGAGGCAGAGCAGAGAGAGACCACTGGTGTAACCAAGGTAACCTAGTGAGGTAGGATGAAAAAATATTTGCCGTCTTAAAGTTGGTGCTTCAACTATTATTATTACGTAGGAAATACATCCTTACCCAAGTTCCTGAGCAGTGAGAGAGGCAGGATAACAATTATTGTGACCAAAATCACCAGGTAATCTCCATTGATGTACCATTCACTGAAACACACAAATACATTTTAAATTGATAGAATAATATCTGTTACACAACCTGTTGAGAAAATGCAATTAATTAGCTTGAACACTCAGAATGGGAACTTTTTCACTTGTCTTGAGTTTTCAGCTTCAGAGGAAATCGGGTCATTCTCCAGATTGACAGAGACGTCTCCAACACAAGGAATGCTTAGGAAATGAGCCTGATCAATTTGTCAATAAAAATGAATTCCAACAGTGATCAAATGTCCTTGTTACACTGGACATGTTCACTTCTCACTTTTCACGTTCTGTCCGGAGAATCAGGGAAACTTTCTACACACAAAAAAGATGTGCATTTTTTATTATTATAATGTTTGGAATTTTACCAAATGATTAATACTGAAGAATCCTAGTTTTTTGTTATATTTTAAGAATTTTATTATTTTTTGATAAGCACTAGTACCTGTACTGTCACTTTAAGAGAGCGTCTTATAACATCAGTTGTGTTCTATCCTCAGTTGGTGCTAGGCTGCCTGAGAAGAGGTAGGAACTTTTCTTTGTTTTTGGTTAAGCTCGCGTTCTATGAAATATATAAAATAATAGTAAATACATGCAGCTGTGAATGTTTATTTGTTTTAATACATAGAGAGGAGTTTTCTTTCCAAAAAGTAAAGAACTTCTTTCTTAAATGTTAGAGCAGATATTATTAGTTTTTCACAGAGTTTCTCCATGTGTTTATCTGCTAGGGGAATTGCAGGTCTCTGCCTGAAACCTGCATTAAAGAACAACCAGGAACTCCTGTGGTCTGAGTCCCTTCTTCAAAAGAACACAACACAGAAGTAAGGAAGGTTAACCAACTGTAAAAGACTAGGTTATCAGTAAAGAACACTAATAGTATACACCGGTTACATCTGCATCCACAACATTTCCTTTTCAACAGTTTCAACTGTTTGGACATAAATAATTAAATTTCTGCCAGAAATAAAGGAATTAAAGTTTTTAAGAAGGTAAAATCTGAATATAATTAACAGAGTAATTCCAACATGCTGCCACATTGAGCAGCAGAATTATAGAATGTCACATAATTTGATTTTGTACTAGAAATTTCAGCTCTAAAATAAAAAACCTACAAAGATATTAAGTGTCAAATGGTGAAATGAACAGCAGCCATGCAATTAATAAGAACAAATTCTGCTATTTCTGTGCTTAGTTGTTAAAACAACCAAATATTTAACTACTTACCCATCATTTGCTCCAGTAAAGGACTGAATAACATTGGGGAGTTCATATTTAATGACGAAGAGGTAACTTGACATGGCTGCATAGAAGATGAAAAAGAAGAAAGAAAACAAAAGAAAATAAATAAACACAGACATTAGTGACATATAAACACAGAAGTTAGCAATATCTAGCATAAATTTTTGCTCATTAAAAAAAAGAATCATTTCTGATATTTTGAAAGATACTAAGTCATATGACACCCATAGAAATAATAATAATAATGTAAAAACTATCTAATTCTGCACTGCCAATTTGGACACAGAGAAGCAATGTTTCAGTTTAAAAGAGATGGTAGATCAATGTAAGCATCATAGTTACAATACATAGCTGTAAAGGTTAAAGGTCAGTCCCTCACCTCCAAAGTTCAGCGTGGTGATAGTGCAGGAAGCAGCCAGTTTGCCTGACATTCCAAAGGCCTTGTAACCCAGTGACTCGTAAACAAGATCCCCTGGAAAAAGAGGGAAGAAAAAGGCAAAGCTTTAAATCTTGACATTTAAATATGATCAAACAAAAAATAAGTTGGAGCTGGTGCTCACCTGCTTCATTGGCTGTCTTTAGCAACAAGTGGATAGAATACAAGGAGAAAATGGCAACGGAAAACAGGAGAATCCTGTAAACACAAAAGAAAGAAAATGTCTTCAGTTGTAGATGACCTGTGTTTATCGGCAATAAATAAATAAAATCTATTTATTTATTGGTGCCAAACGATACAAGTTGTGCAATAGGCACAGTAATGATGAAAAGGAATTCTGATTTTTTTATATTTTAAATCCAGGCTTCTGCTGAGAGAAACTTTTATAGTAACTAACAAAACATTTTCCCCAAAAACATGATATATTATACATTCATGTATTTGCAAAACAACATCCAATAACTGTATTCTAGTGAAAAATGAACTTATGCAGGAGTTGCATGTGTTCTTGGACCACATGCACACACTTTATTATTGATATTTTCCCAGTTGGTCTTTTACAGAAGCTCAGACAAGCAGGTCCAGGTTGCTGATAACATCACATCACTTCAGATGTGAGGATTTTCTTCTTAGTTTGCAAGTCAATACAAACAGAATAGTTCAAAATTTCTAGCTGATCTTAGGAATATCAAGACTTGAGACCTGAAAACCTTCGTCTGAATGCCACTCAGACAAATTAAGATGAAAAGACAAGTTCTTACACAAACTGGGCGATACCGGTGTTGGCCATAGCATAGGACAGACCCAGGATGCCGCTGCCCATGATGGCATTACCCAGGTTGAAGACGGACATGCCGAAGGAGGCAGTGCGCTGGTGCTGCTGAGGAGAAAACTGAGTTTAAAAAAACAAAAAACAACAGGAAAAAAAAAATACATTGTGGAATAAATAAACCTGAACTTACATATTCAGTTTCATACTTCTTCTTGCTTGGTTTATGATCAGAGAGGAAGTTTTGACTCTCTGGATCTTCATCTGGGTATTGCCTTAAATCGAAGAAAGAGATGTGTTCAATGAGCTGACATATCAAACTTTTTATTCGGTTTGTTTGTGAAGACATGTTAAAACCGAGCCTCACCCAGGAACCTTCCTGGGAAAGTCAGAGTTGTTGCCATTGGAGCTGCAGTTGTCGTCGTCTTGAGGAGCGTTCAGGCATTTCATCTCAGTTCTACAACCAGCCTGCTTCTCATTGGGCATTTTAGAGCTGAAAACATAGAAAGCAGAACAAAACAGGTTTTAAGTTGTTGTGTTTCAGTAAATGTTTATTTTCCCTGATGCCATATCTACCACACCTCTGCCTCTAATTGTTCGTTAATGTGTGTTACTGGTAGTGAGCCTGACAACAATAAATTATTATTGATACTTTGTGTTTTTGATGCTAAAATAGATGTAGGCTTATGCCATCCCATTGCTAAGGACGTTAATGTGTTGACATGATGTACAATTTCTGACACGTAAAATAACATTTCTGCTCTTTACTGTCATCAGAAGTAGCACTTTTGTTGTCCTCATCTTTTTGAGTCGTCTCTGAAAATTTCATCCCAGTTTTAACATCAGACTGCTTTTCACTGGACAGTGAGACTTAATGTCCTTAAATATTTTAAAATAATATTTAAATAATAATATTTAAAAATAACAAACAGTGCCATGCCGCTTCTGTAACAATAAGATGGCCCTCCAAGTATCTTTGCTAGAAAACTACTTCTCACTTAACAAAACATACTGTTGCTGAGTAAAAAAAATACAGAATGATCCGAGAGAAACAAAAACCAAAAAGTAACTGAAGTTTACCATGTTGCAACTCACATGTTCTGCGCCATGTTTCTTCTCGCTTGGTAGAGAAGAGAGTTAGTGTTTAAATGCTGCTATTATTATCTCAATCAGTGTCTGGATATCACAATTTTAGTATCAGGCTTTTAGTTGATGGATATTTTATGGATAAAAAGCACAAAAAAAAGGCAGTGGATCAATATTTTTTATACTTCCAGTTTTGTTATTGTCTATTTATTCGCTAAATGTGTATGTATAAACTCAGAATGGTTGATATAGTCTATTCTGGATTACACTTCCAAATGGATGCTTGTACCTACAGTCAAAAAGTCTAGTGTGACATCTGATTAAAAAAACAGGACTATCTTCATTGTCACAGTCTTTGTTACGGACCACTGACTTGTCTGACCTGTTTTCAAAACCTGTTTCAAGCAACAAAAAAAAAACACAGTTGAAAGTAAAACCTTGAGAACCGACAGACAGACATCGTTTTTATTTTTAAACTATACAGAACTACACATATATTCAGTTTGTATATTGCAGCACTATGATGTATTCGTTGAAAAAGGCGTCATAGCTTATATAAGATCTGAAAACGAAGAGAAACAGCATACAGTATTGTAGGCTGTCATTATGTAGAAATGCGTCTTTATGATTTGAGCCTTGTATTTTCATCTTATTCCAGAAAGTGACCAGAGTTCAGTTGGTTTTCTAAAAATGAACACTGTCAGATGTTCAGTATGAACTTTAATTACCAACAAAGTAACATGGTGATGATGCTCCACCAACAGATTGTCTGATGCAGATTAGAAATGGATTATAATGTGGAACTGTAAAAAGTTCTCAATTTATTCATTATCACCATAAAAACTAAAATCAATATAGAACAAGTTGCATAAAGTCTTATTATTTGTGGTAATATTTGACTTCTCACATATCATTGGCATATCTGTTTGTTTGACAAAACCAGATTTAGAATGAACTTGTAAAAGCTAATCCACTGAGCAGAATGGCAAAAACTTATATTCAGGTAAGAGCATCTTACTATAAACAATAATATTTACTTATTATTATTATATCTAATAATTTTTACTTAATGCTTAGGTAAAAATTAAAAGTATGGTACAGTAAATCTGCTCTAAGACTCTAAGAAGTAAATATTATCAAAAAGTTACTAAAGTACCAGAGTAAATGTTGGCTACTCACCTTCAGAGCCATGAACAAAGTGAAACTATTTAAAAGGAAGGAGACTGAACCCTTATTGCATCAGCTCTGATACTTATAGGTCAGAGTTACAGGTGAGAGGTGGAGACTGGCACACAGCGATGTGCTATTGGATCAAAAACAATCAAAGGAGGAAAAAACAACCTAATAACAACAACAACAAAAAAAAAACACTCCCTGGTGAGGTGTTACATGTCCCACCGGGAGGACATATTTCAAGACATATTTTACTTTACTTTATTTGATTTGATTTTATTCAGGTCAGACTGATCCATTATCTTCTGGCAAAGCTGTGTTTATTAGAGGGAGCCCAGCAGTCGCTGCGACTGAACATGCTTTGAGTCCTGTCATACATTAAAAACGTAACGCCTAGAAAACTTGGTGCATAATTCACCCCTTTGGCGGTTTCAGGTAAAATGGCTACAAGACCCAAATTTTGTCAGACTAATAGGGGAGAAGATAGATACTTACTTTGAATTAAATACGGATCAGACTTGTGCTTCAGTCAGATGGGAAGGATTCAAAGCATATATTCGAGGTGAAATCCTTAGCTATACAAGTACAAAAACAAACAACAGAAGGAATGGCTGGAAATCTTGGATAAACAAATAAAATCTCTCTGATGACCAAACAAAGCAGAATGAATTATGTTTGAGAACTGAATATAATAAATTATCTTATGAGGCAGCAGCAAAAAGTTTAATGTGGTTAAAATAATCCTATTATGACCAAGGAGAGAAAGCTGGAAAATTATTGGCGTGGATAATTAAGAAGATGCAAAGTGAAAGAGCAATTAATAGTATAAAGACCCCCTCTGGCAGGGTAACAGTAGATCCAGCTGAAATTAACGATAGCTTTAGGCAATTCTATGTAAAACTATATAAATCAGAGTACTACCACGCTTCAGACGAACAAGATATATTCTTAGATCAACTTCGGTTCCAGACTCTTACAGAAGAGACAAAAAAGGAATTGGATACAAATTTAACGATTGAAGAAATCTCACAGGCCATACAAAGTATCAACAGTGGTAAAGCTCCTGGGCCTGACGGTTTCACTATTGAATTTTACAAAACTTTTAAAGAAAAACTTATAATTCCGCTCTTCAATATGTATGAAGAAGCATTTAGAAGGGAAATTCTCCCACCTACTTTGAGACATGCAATGATCACACTGATGTTAAAGCCTGGTTAACATCCTGAGGAGTGTTCTTCATTTAGACCAATCAGTCTGATGGGGGTGGACACTAAAATACCTTGCAAAGCCCTAGCAAACAGATTGGACCCCTTTATCTCATATTTAGTTCATAACGATCAAAATGGTTTTATACCAAAACGTCAAGGGTTTCACAACATAAGAAGAGTCCTAAATATAATTCATGAGAAATCTGACGCTAAAGATACTGCTTTATTATGACTTGATGCTCGTCAGGCCTTTGATAGAATTGAATGGTCATATCTATTTAACGTTCTCCCGAGGTATGGATTTGGCTGCAGTTTCCTCAAATGGGTTAAACTTTTGTATGCAACTCCCGAAGCCAGTGTTTGGACAAATAATTTAGCCTCTAAACCTTTCATGTTAGAACGTTCCACTCGCCAGGGTTGCCCCTTATCTCCAATGTTATTTGTCTTAGCTATAGAATCCTTGGCAATGATGATAAGAACGCCAACGGATCTATTTGGCATTCAGCTGGGAGACCAGGAGCATAGACTGGCATTGTATGCTGATGATCTGATAATTTTTTTTGACAAATTTATCTGTTAGCATCCCAAATTTAATGCAACAAATAGAGATATTTGTTCAGTTCTCTGGCTACAAAATAAATGATTCAAAGTCCTCTATTCTATTTCTGAACAGGGATGAAAGACTGAACCCGGTTGTACAGACCCCTTTTATCAATGCAAGGGAGGGATTTGTGTACCCAGATGTTAAAATCACCTCAGACGTTGAAGCAATTGTATCAACAAACTATGATCCTCTGGTCAGTAAAATAAAGGAGTTTCTGAATAATTGGATGACATTGCCCATATCGATGATTGGCTGAATAAATATAATCAAAATGAATATATTACCAAGATTTTTGTATCTTTTTCAGACAATTTCTTTGCCTCTTCCAAAACATTTTTTTGATAGATTAAACGATATTTTCAGTAGATTTATTTGGAATAATAATAAACCTAGGTTGAGACTTCGCCTGTTGTACCTGCCATATGAGAGGGGGGGGGGGGGGGTTACAACTCCCTAATCTTAAATTGTATTATTGGTCTGCCCAGTTACACTCAGCCATGTTCTACTTTTCAACCAAAACACCCCCAGCTTGGATGAAAATTGAACAATTAACAACAAACCTTAGATTAAATCTGTATTTGTACTTCGCAAAGCCAAAGCAATTGATGAAAATGACAAGAATCCCTTTCTTAAAAACACAATTGATGTCTGGTATAGGACCCATCAATATATTGGAGATGCTCCTTCCATTTCCTCTTTCTCACCCATCTGGGGAAACAGATATTTTAAGGCAGGTTTCAAAGGCTGGGCAAATAAAGGTGTACAGAAATTGGCAGATCTTTATAAGGATGACAGGCTTCTTACATTTGAACAATTATGTCAAATGTATAACATTTCAAAGAAGCACTTTTATAAGTATTTACAAATTAAACATTTTATTATGTCTAAACATAAAAAGATTGAACCCAAACCACCCTGTCATACCTAGAGAATATTGTGCTAGAAAATCTAGAGAAGAGAGGTCATATTTCTTTATTTTATTTAGCTTTACTAAGGCATGATAAGGAATCCACTGCAGATAAACTGGATGCATGGAGAGTTGACATTCGAGAAGAGATACAAGTAGCGGACTGGAACACTGCATGCGTAAAGGCCCAAAAACAGTCAATCAATACAAGAATGAACTCCTTCAATACAAGTGGTTGATGAGAATTTACATAACTCCAGTTAAATTGAACCGCTGGGCACCTAACATCCCAGATATTTGTTGTGAATGTTTGGTTGGAAGGGGTTCTCTCTTTCACTGTGTATGGGAGTGCCCAAAGTTACAGCAATATTGGAACTTGGTTACGCAAACTTTGTCAGAGATTGTAAGAGTGAATGTACCTGATGAGGCCAAAATGTGTGTTTTGGGTATTTATCCGGAGAACTGTGTTTTTAATTCCAGACAGTTAAAATTGATTGACTTTGGAGTCCTGCAGGCCAGGAGATTAATATCTCTATACTGGACAAAAATGGACATGCCTTCAATTCACATGTGGATGAAGGAGATGATATTGTGTATGGCTCTGGAGCGACTCACTTACATTGTCAGAGGAAAAGGAGCGAAATTTGAAGAAACATGGTCACCGTTGACCAAGTTTCTGAAATACTACAAAGGACATTAAGAGAACTGTGCAGAGATTGCTGAGTTTTTTTTTTTTTTATTTTTTTATCATTGTTTATTATTGTTAATTTGTGTTTGTTTGCTTTGGGGACTAAATTACTTAATGATAATCTGTATTGAGTGTTTCACTGTCACTTGTTTTTTTTTTTTTGTCTTATTCTTTTATGTTATAAAAAAAAACGTAACGCCTCAAAAAGACCAAAGTACAGACTGAAATCATTTAACTTTAAGGTCTAAGAATGAAAAAAACATCACTTTTCAGAGAGAAAGTCAACCACTGACCACTAGAGGTCGTCATTGGAAAGAGAATAATAATAATAATAATAATAATAATAAATTGTATTTATAACAACCTTTATATCTCACATTTATTTTGCAATAGCAATGCATCTTTGCATTTAAATAATGCATGTTTTAATGAAATTGCACGTTACTCAGCCAGTCATATGAAAAGTAACTTTACCAAAATAGAAACGCATTGATAAGAACTTAAGCAGCACATCACAAAGGTCTATGCTGGCCTTTTGTTTGTATAGCCAGTTGTGTAAACCACAAATCCACCCACTTTTGGACAAATTTGATCTCAAGTGACGTTGCTGGATTTGTAATTTGACGAGACACGTATCCGGAATTACGATTTAGGATATCTTGAACGTAATTATCACTGGTCAAAATTACAATTTTAGATATCTGAATTAAGAATGACGTTGAAGCCCTTTTGTGCTGTCCAAACTGTTGCCTGTAGAATTTTATGTTTCCTGCACAAAATTGTCCGTAAATGCCACAAATTAGAAGGAATTCGGCGATGTTGGAAATGCGGAGAATGCAAAACTTCATAAACTATAAGACTGCTAATGATGTCTGCAAGAAAATAATCCTGTTTATTCATTTCCGACGAACTGAATGCACTTAAAAACAGCTTTGAAAAGCTAAAACTGCTTTGTCAATCCATTTTCAACATGACAGTTGTGCATTTTCAAACATCTTTTTTCGTTTTTTCTACTTTTTATTGTTTTATTAAACTTTCAAATTGCCATGTAAATCAATGACGTTTTGACTAGACCGAATGCTAATTCAAGATATAAAATGAACTTTTCCAAAACAACTTTAAACACTTTAAGTGATCTGAAAGAACAAGTTGCTGGTTTAAAAAGCCAATTAGCAGCAGTTATGAAACAAAAGAAACAAACATTACCTAAAAAGAACCAAACAAAACCTGACCATGCAAACCCTGAACCCAACTTACCTTCACACAGTAGTTCACGGCCCAAGCCTTGGTACTGCTTTTGCTGTGGAGAGGATGGACACATTGTTACCAACTGTGAATCTGAGCCGAACCCTGCACTTGTAGAGGCAAAACGTAAAGAACTACAACAAAAAAGACAAATATGAGATAGACAATACAGTGGTTCTGCTTCTTTAAACTAAAGTCTGCCTCTGTTGTGGGACAAACAGAGGCTACCACAGAGTCAAACCGTCCCTGTCAGGTATAAATCACAGATTAAACAAACACAGAAAAGACAAGAGAGTTAGATTCTTTCTACTCGCGAGAACAGACAGAGATGTGCTTTCAGTTACAATCTCCTACCGCTCTGAAGCACATTTGTCCGCTCCTCTCTTTTTATTGTTTTCAGGATCCCTAATAACAAGGACGCTGTAGCTCTAAAGGGAGGGGAAACCAATTCACATAACTCCAGCGCTAAATGTCATTTACTAACTAAGACACAAATTATTCTGCACTAGATAATCTCGTTCCAGGCACAAAGTTTAACAGAATATGTAGTGAATCTTCACAGTGACGGTTTTATAGCAGTCCAGCAACTCAACGAAGCAGAGCTCCTGGTCAAGAGATAAGCCTTGCAGGAAACTGCTGTCTCTACTTTCCATCAGTGAGGCCTTCTGAGAAAGGAATCAGAGTAAATCAACAATATAGAAACATTCTTAATTCTATAATGAGATTAAACAAGAAAAGCATAAAAGAAAGGTAATATTATAAGGATACATGAGAATAACGAATATTTGATTAATAATATCACAATTTCTCCAACAGTCCCTTTGAACCTCAACAAAATGTGCAGACTAAAAAACATGCCATTTTAAAGTTGCATACTAAAACCGACAGATTCAAACTGCCTCGAGGCTTAATTGGCACTAAAAGTACAGCCCAAGTAAAGATTAACGGCAATATTGTTAACATATTCTCGATTCTGGCTCTCAAGTGACCACAGTCCCACAGTTGTTTATATTATTAAATTTTACTCTTTCTTGTTGACACTTTGTGCACTTCCTTGTTGTTCACACCTAGGCTCCTGAGAATTTAGAGTCTTTTGATACGGCCCAACTTCTTTTTAAATATACTTTCATAGTATCAGTACAAGTCAGAGAAGTAAATTGAATCACCTGCCTTTTACTTTTATGAGGTGTATTTAAAGTAACTTGTGGGTTACATGTTGGTTCATTAAAAACTTAAATGAAATGACCTTTATACTGTTTGTCAATTTGTTCATTTTTTCACAAAATGACAAAAAACTGCAAGGATACAAAATGATGAAATGCCTCGCATGTTTCACAGTAGAGGACGATGCTCTGTAGCACCATCTAGAGGTCAGAAATAAAAACAGTTAACTCACAGTACTGTAAGAAAACATGACAGATAATCTTTCCAGGATTATGTTCTATGGCAAGCCGTTTTGACATAAAAGTACATAAACATAAATTCGTTTTACTGCCCTTACATTCAAGATATCTCAAATTGTTTTATGACTTGATGTTTTAAAAATGTAAGATATCTCTAATTAAATTTTGACTATCCTGTTTCAGTCCATGATATTCCTGATATTCGGTGTGGCCGTCATGTTTGTCAGCCTGAGTGATGTCATCTATGACTGGATCAGAAATCGAGTGTCGGACGAAGGCCGTCAAAGTTCCAGCTGCTGGAGGGACTAAAGCAGGGATTTTTTTTTTTCTGTGCCAAAACTGTGATTACAGCATTATTTTCTTAAAAGCACTTTTGACTATCGGTTTTTACTTAAACAGTGCCAATTAAAACTTTCTACTGTGACTTTTTCTGAGAGCCAAGAGCTCCAGAGTATCTGCCTTGAGCACTGTGTGAAACTGTTTTTACATTTTATACACTAGGGAAGCTATTGTTGTGTATAGCAGCTTGTTCTGCCTCTATGAGGATACCAAGCCTTCCAGATCAACTTCCTCCACTCCTGAAGAGGAATGAAGACTTTGGAAGGTTTTTGCTTGTTGTTTCATCTGAGAATATTTTGAACACTAACCAAGTCCAGCTTAGATCTAGTTCCAAAAGTGTTGAGAACAAGTCGTCAGATGGAGCCTTGTGATTACATTGTTGAGCTTTCAATTTCTATATATCTTAATATATTTAAGCAATATTATAATTTTATGTTGTTATTTTTTCATGTGAACTTTTTTGTTTAAAATATTGAAGACAATTTTATTGGAGCTTCATAGGAATCTTTGTTTTCTCCAAAATGCAGCTATGAATGTTACTCTTTTTAGAGATTGACTAAATCATGTTTGTTTTTTTTCCAAGTACTTTCATTTATCTTACTTTTTTAATGTTACAAATATTTACAGACTATCTCTAGAACTGAAATGGGTACTAAATCTACTGCCTGACATGTTTTCTTCATAATTCTGTCCTTGGTTGTATATTTGGGATTGTATTTGGCAAACTGTAGATTATCCAGGGAAGAAAATTTTGTGCTAAACAACACAGCAGATGTTCTCTCCATCCAAAGTTGCCCCATCAGTTCAGCTGAACAAGTGGAGATGTTGCACCAAGAAGAAATATGAACATGTACACTTGAACATCTGCATTTGATATTTATATAGAAAATGTACATATTATAATTTCCTTTGTGTAAGATTGAAAGTCCTTAATATTTGTCATGATGTCCAAATAAATTGTGCTGAAAATATTTAAAGTCTTTACTGAACTACATCAACTTCTGCTCATATGATTCTGCTTTCAGGGCTAACACAGTGCTAAATAAAATGTAACCGTGAGTATTTATAAGTCCTATAAAACTGAAATAGTTTACAAACACGCAATACTGCTGAAAGTATTATTCAAATCAACATAGCAGACAGTAACACAAGTGCATTTTTAGTTTGTATTTCTAAGCAGCTTGACAAGCTACACTAAATGTAACAAGATTAGTGTCACAAATTGGCATGTAGAATAGCAAGTGTTTGAAAAGTTTGTGGTGCTCCTCCAACTAAACCGATCCATGGTAGATCAAGCACAATGAAAAACGCAACACAAAAAAAATATGCTGCACTGTTGAAAACGGCATCAAAATGCACTGTAAGTTGAAACATATCACCGTTTGTTTTATGCTTAAGTTTTACGTGCAGCTTTAAATTCAAGTATGTGTCACTGAGTCACTCATATTTGTCAGTGAAATCAACACTTATTCATGTGCCATTTACTGCACATACTGTGACTATCTGGACCAGAACGTGATGCTGCAGTGATTTCTGGTAAATCCACATTTTGGAGGTCTAGCAAGGCTCTGGGTGGGTTGTTCTTATCTGTTGTGTGACAGACCGGTCTTCTCCCCTTTTTTCATATTTGTGTGTAATAAGGAGGGCGATTGCATATTCAGATATTTAAGAACAATAACAAATGGGTGATATAGCTCATATAATACATTACATTATTATGAGTGAGTGATCAGGATTTATTTTTGGATGTATGATTTATTATAATAATTACTACCATAGAATAAAAACATTATTGTTATCCTTTTGCAATCAGTTTCTGAAGTTACTGTGCCAATAGTGGTAGATCTGTCTGGGTTGGATCTGATGTAAGTTTGCCAAAGTTCTTTTTTCTGACAATCGGTTCAATCCACTATTTACTGACTGACAGCATCACAGTTGGGTTATTTTAGTAACATTTGAACACATTGTTACCACTAATAGCGTGATCTCAGTAAATACGTCGTGTATTAGACGGTGAGCAAACCTTTTAGTTCCATACATTGTGTTTAGTTTTAACAAAGGGTTCATTGTAAATACATGTCAACTGTGTATATTGGCACATGCTTTACATAGGATGTCAGTGTCACAAAGAACATAAGGTAGTCGTTGTTGTCCGTTTTATTGCCGAGTGCTTTTACACGGCCATGCAAATAAAATAAAAAAACAAACAAAACATTAATACTTAGTATTGCAATCTTCAATAAACAGACTTAAACATAGATTTAGGAGTTAGGCTCGACTTAACTAAACCGGTTATAAGACAAAGGTTACTCTTAGAACACTTCGTAACATAATAAACATCAGCATTCAAACATCACAGTGCAGCAAAACACAGTTAGCATTTGGCTAATTAGGTCGAACAAATACCAAGCACACGATTAAAACAGATAAGAAAAATCTAATCTCCCCACAGTTTACAGCACATGTGTCAAACTCAAGGCCCGGGGGCTAAATCTGGCCCGCCGAAGCTTTTTATGTGGCCCTATACAGTCTAGACTAAACATGTGATTAAATATTATATTATCAATCATATCAATGCCGTTTTTATCTGTTTACTGCCAATTTATATCAATCAATCCCTCCAGTTTCTTGAGAATTTAGTTGATGTATGATTATAGTCCATGATTTATACAGCTAGTAAATAAAAAGTCTCATTTATTATTAGTTCCTGAAGGGACTGAAAAGATCTTCAAAAATATTATGTAATTTTAAGAATTTATTGACATATTAACAGTTTGTGAACAGGTTTTATCAACATGTTCTGGCACAACCGGCCCTTTAAGAGCCTTCATGATCTTGATTTGGCCCAAAACGAAAATGAGTTTGACACACCTGGCTTACAGCATTAATATAATTCACCACTTTGGGAAACACTCGTGAAGGCCAGTAGAATATGATTTTGTGGTTGATACGTCTTGTTAGCTTCAGCTAACAGCAGTCTAACTTCATTGTTGGCCTGCCATAAGTTTCTTCTCCTCTTTCACTTCCCCTCCCCTACCAAAGTAAAGGAACTCCAGCGCCCCCTAGCGGAATGGGAGGAGTGAATCCAACAGTCAGTATGGATGACGCTCAAATGACATGAAGAAAAAACAAATATTATCAAAAAGTTACTAAAGTAACAGAGTAAATGTTGGCTACTCACCTTCAGAGCCTTCATACTGTGTAGCAATCCTACTGTCTTAATAATAATAATTAATTTTATTTATAACGACCTTTATATCTCAAATTGACCTCTCAGAGTGCAAGCTGATGAGGGCAAGCTACTGAATTGTTTCTACAGAGACGAAGCTGCAATTTAGTGTGACGCCGCCAGGCGAGGCGGTTGAATGGTCTATTGCCTAAACAATAAGTGCTTTTCAACATACAAAGTTGCTTCACAGACACGTTTTTGGTAAAGTTGAACAAAAACTGAAAGCAAATGTCGAAGGAAACTAAATTGTCCGTGAAGTTTCAAGTCCAGGGCCTCGTTCGAGTCTTTGGGAGATTCACGTACTTCGTTAAGCAGGATGTTCTCGCTGAGGTCAGAGTTCACAGCTACACTCTCCCACGAATAACAATGTACCTGAGAGGAAGCTGTGTTTGAAACTCTGCAAATTTTGAGTCTGTGTTGTGAGGCCTTTTTGTTTACAGCTGTACCACAATAATGAAACAGAAAGAAAGTAAAAAGCAAAAAACTATTTAAAAAGTTACGATAAAAAGAGGGAAACGCCATCTCTGTGGTCGAGAGCAGCAAAATGTACAGAGTTCAGATACGTTCTCTTGGAATGGTACGGTCCATTGCTCAGAAAGCCAGAGCCGAGAAAGTGAGTCTTTGTGGTTTGCTTTGTTCGTCACACTGTTTTTGTTGGCTGTCTGTTTGTTGCAGTCTGACTCTGAAAGCTTCCCCCTGCGCCAGCAGAAGAGCTGGAGCTTCAGTGACCTTGGTCTTTCACAGAGTTCATGATCCAGTCGTAGATGATAAGAGTCATGCAGCCAAACATGACAACAATTCCTAATGTCAGGAACATCGCAGCCAGGTGGAAGAAATCATTTCACAGTTAATTTGAAGTTGCTAGTTACACAATATTTTACAATGAATTTACTAAAAAAAATTAATGCGGTTGAAATTGTAAAATGTTTAATAATGTCTCACCCCAATTTTCTGCATGGATTTCATTGATTCCTTCTTAACCAGTCTGAGATAGAAAGCTGAGGGCAGGATAAAGATCAGCATTGCAGCAGCAGAGGCACCTGGAATGAGGAAAAAATGAGCCATTAATCATAAAGGGTCAATAATACATGGTTAAAAAGTTGATGATATGTATTAACATGTGCAATTACTTACCAATGAAGCCAAAAATATCTCTGATGCTGGGGACAAAGATGACCAGGATGTTGGTTCCTGCTAGCAGGCTCAGGGTGATGATAATGTGACGGATCCAGCTGAAGTCCTTTCCTGGGAACAGCAGGTGGCCGACTGAGGTACGAATCTGTTCAGATCAGACAAAGATTAGCTCAATAAACTTCATAGTCTTCGTGACTGACTGGTTAATTAACAGTAGATCCTCAATACTCAGGGAAGAGCACCACAGGAACTGTGAGTGTGACAGCGGCCAGCACAGCCAGAGACAACCAGCAGGGAATATCGTACTTGTAGAACTTTGAGTAGGTGTGGAGCAGCTCAGGTTCCACGTGGACTGAATAGAAATATGACAGATCACTTCAGTTACTTACTTCTAATGACTAAGAACAGTTTGACTTTATGCCAACTCAGCTGCAATTATATGTAGTTAATAAACATTAACATTCTAAAACATAAGACAAGGGTGTGTTGTATACCTAAACAATACGCTCAATGTATTCTACATAGAACATTTAACTTCTGTTTAATCCAGAAAAGGAAACAGTAATAGTGAACACAACTCTGCAGGTTTTGTACTGCAGAGACAAAAGCTATCTGCTTGTCACTCTCCTTGCAGGAGTCTCTTGTTAAATCCTGTTATTTTCCTTCTGTTTATGGATCTTGTAATTTTGTTTGTTCAGCTTTTCTTCACCAAATCTTCTAAATCTAATCAACGTCTCAACCTGCTGCATCTGGGTTCAACCCATCTTGACAACATCTCAATACTGCTAACACTGTAGTTTTTAAATCTTGCCCAACTCACTGTTGAAGGTGAGGTATCCGAAGAGGGCGGCCAGCAGGTACATGATGAACATGGCCAGGAAGGACACGTTGGCCACGTTCTGCATCTTTCGGCGTGATCGGCTGTTCAGGGACGGAGAGTTTTATTTAGACACCAGACCAAACTTTAAAGAAATATAGCATTGGTGTAGTTTCACTTTGAGTTAAATCCATGCAGCAGGACTTACTCTTTGAGCTCTTTATACATAGGGAGGATAGTAGGGTGGCACACGAAGGCAAAAGTGAGGATGGGTATAGCATAGACAGTCTGGAGAGATGGAAAAATGCAAAGATTAGATGTTATTCTTTGAGTATTATTAAAAATATTCAAACCTGTTTAATCTGTGAGAGATTTATTTACCTGTGAGTTGTAGACAAAGTATTAGGCTTGCAAGTGTCATCATCTGTAGTGGTGTTGTCGCTGTGGTGTTTGCTGTTCAACAAATGCATGGTTTCATTTCCATCGTCAGGATCAGGCAGAGGACAAGATATCTGGAACTTCTTTATGATCACCTGAAAAAGATATACACTGTAAAAAAAAACTGTCATTTTTATGGTAAAATGCTGGCAGCTGTGGTTGCCAGAATTTAACCGTAAAAATTACAGTCAGCTAATTTTTACAATTGCTGATTCTACAGTAATAAATTGTGTTTTATTTGACCTTTTACTGTAAAAATGACAGTTTTTACCATTGAAATTGAACAAGTTTTACCCTAAAATTTACATTAGAACAATATTACAAATACAGTTAAAGCCATGAAATATGAAAGTATTTTGCTGTAAAATTAAAAGTCTAAATTATTAAATATGAATATAAATTCCTGTATAATTACAGGGTTTTGTCTGTAATTTCAAAAAAAGTATACTTTTTAAATACAGAGAAAACCTGTAATTATACAGGAATTCAGTGTATTTGTAAAATTGTTTTAATGTAAATTTTAGGGTAAAACTTGATCAATTTCAATGGTAAAAACTGTCATTTTTACAGTAAAAGGTTAAATAAAACACCATTTATTACTGTAGAATCAGCAACTGTAAAAATTAGCTGACTGTAATTTTTACGGTTAAATTCTGGCAACCACAGCTGCCAGTATTTTACCATAAAAATGACAGTTTTTTTTACAGTGTATGTTTGGATTACAGTATATTTTTACAATATTAAAAAAACTAAATAACTAGTGATTTGAAAACTTTAATGAAACAATTTACAAAATCTAACTTGCAGGAGAAATAAAAGAGGGAGGCGTCATACTGACCACAATCAGAAAGATCACCATGCAGAGCAGAGAGAAACCACTGGTGTAACCAAGGTAACCTAGTGAGGTAGAATGAAAAAATATTTTCCGTCTTAAAGTTGGTGCTTCAACTATTATTATTACGTAGGAAATACATCCTTACCCAAGTTCCTGAGCAGTGAGAGAGGCAGGATAACAATTATTGTGACCAAAATCACCAGGTAATCTCCATTGATGTACCATTCACTGAAACACACAAATACATCTTTAAATTGATAGAATCATATCTGTTACACAACCTGTTGAGAAAATGTAATTAATTAGCTTGAACACTCAGAATGGGAACTTTTTCACTTGTCTTGAGTTTTCAGCTTCAGAGGAAATCGGGTCATTCTCCAGATTGGCAGAGACGTCTCCAACACAGGAAATGCTTAGGAAATGGGCCTGATCAATTTGTCAATAAAAATGAATTCCAACAATGATCAAATGTCCTTGTTATACTGGATATGTCCACTTTTCACGTTCCTGACAGTAGAATCAAGGAAAATTTCAATGACACAAAAAAAAAATTCTGGATTTTGACAGTTTTTTAGGGGATCAGTAGACACACCCTACCTAAATTGCCTCCTCTCCTCTCCTGCTCTGCATCCAACAACATTTCCTTTTCACCTGTTGTGCTTCAGTTGGGTTCAAGTTTGGTCATAAATAATTAATTTCCTTCCAGAAATAAAGGAATTAAAGTTTGTAAGAAGATCAAATCTGAATATAATTAATTTAATCATGCTGCCACATTGAGCAGCACAATTATAGAATGTCACATAATTTGATTTTGTACTAGAAATTTCAGCTCTAAAATAAAAAAAAACCTATGAAGGTATTAAGTGTCAAATGGTGAAATGAACAGCAGCCATGCAATTAATAAGAACAAATTCTGCTATTTCTGTGCTTAGTTGTTAAAATATTTAACTACTTACCCATTATTTGCTCCAGTAAAGGACTGAATAACAATGGGGAGTTCATATTTAATAATGTAGAGGTAGCTTGACATGACTGCATAAAAGATAAAAAATGAAGAAAGAAAACAAAAGAAACACAGAAGTTAGTAACATCCTGAGCATAAATTTACATATTTTTAAAAAAAGAGTAATTTCTGATATTTTGAGAGATACAAAAAAGTCAGAGGACACTCATAGAAATAATAATAATAATGTAAAAACTATTGTATTCTGCCTGTACTCTCAATTTGAAGAAGGAGAAGCAATGTTTAAGTTAAAAAAGCTGGTAGATGAATGTAGGCATCATAATTACAATACATAGCTGTAAAGGTTAAAGGTCAGTCCCTCACGTCCAAAGTTCAGCATGGTGATAGAGCAGGAAGCAGCCAGTTTGCCTGACATCCCAAAGGCCTTGTAACCCAGTGACTCGTAAACAAGAGCCCCTGGAAAAAGAGGGGGGGGAAAAACGCAAAGTTTTAAATCTTGACATTTAAATATGATCAAACATAAAAAGTTGCTGGAAAGTTGGAGCTGGTGCTCACCTGCTTCATTGGCTGTCTTTAGCAACAAGTGGACAGAATACAAGGAGAAAATGGCAACGGAAAACAGGAGAATCCTGTAAACACAAAGAAAAGGTCTTCAGTTGTAGATGACTTGTATTTATCGGCAATAAATAAATAAATAAAGACTATATGCTTGATGGGACTTTTGGTGCCAAATGATGCAAGTTGTGCAATAGGCACAGTAATGAGTAATGGGAATTCTGATATTTTCTTTAAATCCAGGCTTCTGCTGAGAGAAACCTTCATAGTAACTAACAAAACATTTTCCCAAAAAAACATGATACATTGAAGAGCCATCATGCGGTACATTTGCAAAACAACCTCCAATATCTTTCTTTTAGCAGAAAATGAATTTAAACTGGAGTTGCATGTGTTCTTGGACCACATGCACACATTTTATCATTGATATTTTTCCAGTTGGTCTTTTACAGAAGCTCAGACAAGCAGGTCCAGGTTGCTGATAACATCACATCACTTCAGATGTGAGGATTTTCTTCTTTGTTTGCAAGTCAATATGAACAGAATAGTTCAAAATTTCTTGCTGATCTTAGGAATGTTATAGCCTGAGACCTGAAAACCTTCGTCTGAATGCCACTCAGACAAATTAAGAACAGAAAGGTTCTTACACAAACAGGGCGATGCCAGTGTTGGCCATAGCATAGGACAGACCCAGGATGCCGCTGCCCATGATGGCATTACCCAGGTTGAAGACGGACATGCCGAAGGAGGCAGTGCCCTGGTGCTGCAGAGGAGAAAACGGAGTTAAAAAAAAAAAAACAACAGGAAAAAAAATACATTGTGGAATAAATAAACCTGAACTCACATATTCAGTTTCATACTTCTTCTTGCTTGGTTTATGATCAGAGAGGAAGTTTTGACTCTCTGGATCTTCATCTGGGTATTGCCTTAAATCGAAGAAAGAGATGTGTTCAATGAGCTGACATATCAAACTTTTTATTCGGTTTGTTTGTGAAGACATGTTAAAACCGAGCCTCACCCAGGAACCTTCCTGGGAAAGTCAGAGTATCCAAAGTCGTTGCTGTTGGAGCTGCAGCTGTCGTCGTCTTGAGGAGCGTTCAGGCATTTCATCTCAGTTCTACAACCAGCCTGCTTCTCATTGGGCATTTTAGAGCTGAAAACATAGAAATCAGAACAAAAAAGGTCTTTGTTATTGTGTTTCAGCATATGTTTATTTTCCCTGATGCCATATCTACCACACCTCTGCCTCTAATTGTTCGTTAATGTGTGTTACTGGTAGTGAGCCTGACAACAATAAATTATTATTGATACTTTGTGTTTTTGATGCTAAAATAAATGTAGGCTTATGCCATCCCATTGCTAAGGACGTTAATGTGTTGACAGGATGTACAATTTCTCACACGTAAAATAACGTTTCTGCTCTTTACTGTCATCAGAAGTAGCACTTTTGTTGTCCTCATCTTTTTGAGTCGTCTCTGAAAATTTTATCTCAGTTTTAACATCAGACTGCTTTTCACTGGACAGTGAGACTTAATGTCCTTAAATATTTTAAAATAATATTTAAATAATAATTTTTAAAAATGACAAACAGTGCGATGCCGCTTCTGTAACAATAAGACGGCACTCCAAGTATCTTTGCTAGAAAACTACTTCTCACTTAACAAAACATACTGTTGCTGAGTAAAAAAAATACAGAATGATTCGAGAGAAACAGAAACCAAAAGTAACTGAAGTTTACCATGTTGCAACTCACATGTTCTGCGCCATTTTTCTTCTCTCTTGGTAGAGAAGAGAGTTAGTGTTTAAATGCTGCTATTATTATCTCAATCAGTGTCTGGATATCATAATTTTAGTATCAGGCTTCTAGTTGATGGATATTTTATGGATAAAAAGCCAAAAAAAAAGGCAGTGGATCAATATTTTTTATACTTCCAGTTTTGTTACTGTCTATTTATTCTGCTAAATGTGTAAGTATAAACTCAGAATAATTGAGATAGTCTTTTCTGGATTACACTTTCAAATGGATGCTTGTACCTACAGGTCAAAAAGTCTAGTGTGACATCTGATTAAAAAAACAGGACTATCTTTATTGTCACAGTCTTTGTTACGGACCACTGACTTGTCTGACCTGTTTTCAAAACCTGTTTCAAGCGGAAAAAAAAACACAGTTGTGTCGGTTCTCCAGAGAACCGACACAAACATTGTTTCTATTTTTAAACTATACAGAACTACACATATATTCAGTTTGTATATTGCAGCAATAACATGATGTATTTGTTGAAAAAGGCGTCATAGCTTATATAAGATCTAAAAATGAAGAGAAACAGCCTGCAGTACTGTAGGCTGTTTCTCTTCAGTAGCGGCAGTTGAAAGAAATGCGTCATTCTGAGTTGAGCCTCGTATTTTCTTCTTATTCCAGAAAGTGACCAGAGTTCAGTTGGTTTTCTAAAAATGAACACTGTCAGATGTTCAGTATGAACTTTAATTACCAACAAAGTAACATGGTGATGATGCTCCACCAACAGATTGTCTGACGCAGATTAGAAATGGATTATGTGGAACTGTAAAAAGTTCTCAATTTATTCATTATCACCATAAAAACTAAAATCAATATAGAACAAGTTGCATAAAGTCTTATTATTTGTGGTAATATTTGACTTCTCATATCATTGGCATATCTGTGTTTGTTTGACAAAACCAGATTTAGAATGAACTTGTAAAAGCTAATCCACTGAGCAGAATGGCAAAAACTTATATTCAGGTAAGAGCATTTTACTATTAATAATAATATTTACTTATTATTATTATATCTAATAATTTTTACTTAATGCTTAAGTAAAATTTAAAAGTATGGTACAGTAAATCTGCTCTAAGACTCTAAGAAGTAAATAATATCAAAAAGTTACTAAAGTACCAGAGTAAATGTTGGCTACTCACCTTCAGAGCCGTGAACAAAGTGAAACTATTTAAAAGGAAGGAGACTGAACCCTTATTGCATCAGCTCTAATACTGATAGGACAGAGTCACAGGTGAGAGGTGGAGACTGGCACACAGCGATGTGCTATTGGATCAAAAACAATCAAAGGAGGAAAAATCAACCTAATAATAACAACAACAAAAAACACTCCCTGTTGAGGTGTTACATGTCCCACCGGGAGGAGGCCCCGGGGAAGACCCAGGACACGCTGGAGGGGCTACGTCTCTCGGAGGATAAAGCGGAATTAAATGGATGGATGAATGGAAACAGCAAGAGTAAGAGAAAACGACAAGGGGGAAAACATTTTTCATAATCCTGCAAGTTTACTGTAAAATCTACAATTTTATAGGTTACCTGGGTTACCACTTTATTTGGTTATTTGTGCCTGTTTATTGCCTTTAAAATCATTGTTTGATGTCATAGGACTTTTTTTAACTTTTTTTTTTTTGCTTTTGTGCAGGTCAGAACATATTTTATTTTATTCAGGTGAGACGGATCCATTGTCTTCTTGCAAAGCTGTGTTTATTAGAGGGAGCCCAGTAGTCGCTGTGACTGAACATGCTTAGAGTCCTGTCATACATTAAAAACTAACGCCTCAAAAGGACCAAAGTACAGACTGAGATTGTTAACTTTAAGGTCTAGGAATGAATAAAACATCACTTTTCAGAGAGAGAAAGTCAACCACTGACCACTAGAGGTCGTGATTGGAAAGAGAAGAGTTTACTGTGTAGCAATCCTACTGTCTTAATAATAATTAATTTTATTTATAACGACCTTTATATCTCAAATTGACCTCTCAGAGTGCAAGCTGATGAGGGCAAGCTAAAGAATTGTTGCTACAGAAGCGAAGCTGTAATTTAACGTGACGCCGCCAGGCGAGGCGGTTGAAGGGTCTATTGCCTAAACAATAAGGGCGGGTAGGCCAGGAATCGAGATGGCGATTCCCCGCAGGAAAGTAAACTCTTACCGCCATTACTACTATGACTCTTCCCGTTACTCTGCTTCTCCGTTTCAAAGTCACATAAGAAGGCTTTCACTGACGAAGCTCCTCCTAAGCTGTGTACTAAGCTAAATACTTGATACTTTAAAAATGTATATTTATTACCAAGAACAATAAAGGTAAGAGGAAATAAATTCATCTTACAACAAACAAATTTTGCTCTTACTAGCAAGAAAATCAAGGTGATGACTTCATGGGTAATTTTCTAAAAACAAACAAAAAAATTCTAATAAATAACGTTCATGACACATGGCAACATGGCAACTCTGTCATATCAAGTGCAGCTACCTTTTGGGGTAAATGAAGATCTGTATTTAGACTTTTGAAAAATATTAGGTTTACCTAAACCTTTTTCAACCTTAGACCCCATGACATTCAAACTATTACTTTAAATGTCACCGCAGTTTTACAAAGGATTATTCTTAGTGAACAGATGTAAATCAAGGCATTTAGGGGCACATTGCCACATGGCTTGAGGAAAGTGGAACTGAACCCACAACTTTTGGCTTGCAAGACAAGAACTCTCTCCACAGCAATCCATTTGCTTCTAACCCAGACAATCTGGATTATGGACAATTCTGTTTATGTTAATGACAATGAAGGCAATAGTAAATCTTCCTCAAACACCACATCTATTTATGGAGTACCACAGGGTCTGGTACTTGGGCCCATTTGGTAAATGTACTTCCACTGTAGGAAACCAATTTGTTTGGACCTGCTATTGAACAACTGAACAGTAGCTAGATTTATGAAGTTTATTCTCAAAGGATTTAGGAGCGGGTCAGATTAAGAGGCCGTCTTCTTCTTTGAGACCGAGCTTTAGCAGAGAATCACAATAGCTAATCTCCACGTAACGTATTACCTTCAAATATATTATTGTGCTCATAATGCTCAGTTATATTTATTCATACACACTTGATGAATCCAATCAGTTTGTACAGTTTTCAGTTCTGTTTAAGAGATAAAAGACTAGAATAGAACAAATGTCATGTTAAAGTGCGAACATCAAATCTAGACCAATACCAGGGCATTTGTCTCCAACTTTATCAAGATGACAACATAAAAGACAGAGAGTGAAGGTTTCAGGTCATAGTCCATTTTATTGGGACATTATTTACACCATGTACAAAGTGTTTCATTGAAACAAGAGTGTAGCACTGACAGGCAGCATCCTTTCTGTGTTTGACCAAGGAGAACGGTTTGCTGATTTGTGTCTGTCTTCAGGGGCTTAAAAAAATTTCAAAGTGGCTCCAGTTGTGACCTTTCACCACTGAATCCATCCAGCATGAATATTCAGTGTTTCTAAAGAAATGAACGGATAGCGCTCTGGTGTTCTGACCAAACGCTTCACAATATGACCTCATTTGGTTTTTGAGCTCCATGAAATTGTTCAAACAAAAATCTTTAAAAACAAAAACATATATTTATCTATATACATTCACATACATATGTACATATAACATTGTATAAATATATTAAAATAGTTTAAATTACATTTCTTTAACGGCCTTCCATAAATAGATGACGGTTCTTTTCAATGTGTTAGTGTTGGAAGCACAGTGCACTCTCTGATGAACGGTTCTTGACTCGGATGGGAATTGGATCCATGCTGGGTCTTCATTGTAAAACACTGTATTGTGCTATGACACTGAACACTGAAGAATTCAGGGTATTTTCTTGGTGTTTAGGAGTGCACCTGACTTCGTACGGCTAAAGCTGTTGCGGTTTAACAAGTGTAACAAGTATATTATTACAACCACTGTATGTGGTCAAATTCAAAGTATTCTCCCATAAAGAAAAAACATTCCAGGTTTCCCTCCGTGGCCCCCGCTCAGGAGTCGGGGGTCGGTGGATGGAAACGGAAGGCTTGGCGGCCTTCACGAAGCAGTAGTGTCGCTGCTGCACACGCCCATCAAACAAGATCTAAGACAGACCTCCCAGTGTCTGGTTCTGTTCACAGATTCGCCAGTTGACACTTTGAGCGAAATCAAGGGACCTTAGAAATACTGACCAAGGTGTCGTTTAGGTGAAAACTGACAAATGGCCTCAACTATAAGTGCTTTTCAATATACAAAGTTGCTTCACAGACACGTTTTTGGTAAAGTTGAACAAAAACTGAAAGCAAATGTCGAAGGAAACTAAATTGTCCGTGAAGTTTCAAGTCCAGTGGCCTCGT